TTCTAGGGTATGCATTTAACAATTACTAAATTACAGTTGTTACTTTGTGTTGTTCCCCCCATTTTGATGAAACATTTAATAGTAGGACTTAGCACGTGTGACTTTGTAAAATTAGAAAAACTATTAGTCGATAATGAATCAATTATTAAGAATTATAAATAAGTAATTTTCTCGAACTAATAAATAATTTATGGTTAAATTGACATATTTTAAAAATAACCAATTTAATGGTGAATGCACATTATTCGGAAGTTATCTGAATAAAAGTGGACCGTACACATGTGGACATATTTTGATACAAGAGTATCTAATTGGAAATCCTGTTGGTCCTAAAAGTAAAAGAGTATGAAGCGTTGAAGCATAAATGATGATCCTCGCCAAGTCGAAACGATTGAACGTATTATTAACCTACACACCAAACCAAACCCTTTCTGTTATGTTCTGTGTATGTTGGTACATTTTGCTATACTGAGTGGGCGAGGTGACTTGTAATTTGAGCAAAAATTAAAAGAGGTGCTTAGCCATCATATCATGTGAAAGTGGATAACTAATCCAACCAAAATTTTCTTTAGCACTAAGCTACCCCAATCAAGTGGCCATACTCGTACCCACCATATCTGGTTTAGAGATTCTGTACAGGGACAAACAGGCAACAAAAGCAACTTCATTCTGCTTCTCAAACCCAAACTACAGTTCCCACCCTTTCCCCATTGCATTGGATTCTCCATTCTATCATGCCCACATAAGTCTTTTCACACACCATATCCATCATCAACCATCATGCTCTATCTACTTCTAGCTGTCCACGTCGCTGAATTACACAGTTCTGGGAAATCATACTTCTGTATAATATAAAAAAGATTCAAAAACTGAGACTCTGGGCTTAACTTTTGTATCACCACGCCTTGATTTACCACTTTAGTTTAATGTATAAGAACCTGTGACCACCTACATGGAGTTGGAATAGAATTTTTTTTAGCATTTGTTTAACAGTTTGAGTGATTAGGACACAACCATCCAATTAATTATTTGGATATGTCTTACATTGTTGATATCGATTATATTTCGGAGAGAGAAGGTGTTGTTTATTGGAATCTTTATGCTTGATTAACTCGCTTTTGTTAACAAATCTCAGCACGTGAGAGAGGTTTTCTTTTCATAATGCTAAATTAATTCTAATTAAACTGAGTCCAAGTGATGTTAAAAACAAAAAAGTTTGTCTTACAAAAAGAAGAAAGACCTGGTCCGAATAAATTGTGAGGGCCAGACTGAAATGTACGCCATATAATTAGGTCTCTCAAGGATTTAAAAAGCCGTAAAAGTAAGTCATAAGCACTTTGGCACATATGAATGATTTTACTTAAACACCCTCAAAATAAAATGTGCAGAAAAAAAAAAATTAATCGGGAACTGTTATAATTATATTATATCAGTCATTTGACAGTTTTTGTTTTATATTTTCTTCTTGGCTCTCTTCTTTTTACAAAAGTTATACAAATACAAATTCTCAATTATAATTATAACTATGATTGAGAGTTGTAAAAACGACAAGATACACAAGGAAACATAACAGGGGTTACTTTCATGAAAGAGATACAGAAAAAGGAACAGAAGAAAAAAAGGTCAAGTGTTTCTTTCACGACTTAAATCCAATCTGTTGAAGGAACTGCCATTTGGTTTTCTCTATAGTTCTCATCTCATTCTGAGTAGGAAAATATTCATGCTTGCTAGTTGCTGCTGCGAGCCTGGAAAATTTAGCTAGAATTAGTTAAAAGGAACAATAATTAATTCTGACTAGTCACTGTGGAGGGAGCAACAGTACAATAATGTGGTGTTATATATATATGTTTGTGTACATGAGCGTAAAGGGAAGGACCACAGACAAATATATATTTATATAATCAAAGCAAAGACGTATAAGGAAAACCAAGTTGAGCCTGGGGCTGGTGGAAAATACATAAAGGAGCGAAGACTTTTTGGACTCGTGTTTATGAGAGAGAGATAAATTTCTCAGCCAAAGGTACTACAAAACTATGTACCATACTTCCATGTGAAACAACAGTGAACAAGTAGTCAAGTAGTTTAAATCGTATCTTTCTCTACAAAGGGCAAGCATTTTCAATTCAGGTTATAAATATATGTCCAGTTTTGTCTAAGAACGGAAAGAGCGTATTGAAGGGTAAAAATTCTAGAGTGGTCCATACTTCATGCACTGTTTTGGTCTTGAAGAGAGAAGAACCATTTTCAATTCATATACAGGGACATGCAACTTAATTAAGACATGGAACTTTAAAAGATGTGAGTGGTTGTCCGAGGACTTTTGTTTACTATTCATTCTTCTACATAGTCAATGATCAATTATATTTCGTAAAGCTCCATTTCTTTTTATGCCTTTCTTGATTTCTCCGTGTGAAAAAGAAGTTTACAGATTAACAAAACCATCATAAGAAAGGAAGCCACCGTGTTTAATGAATCCACATATCATACGAACCTGTTTAACGACTGGTAGTAATAGCTAAAGTCTTTTTCTCATCCACTTTAGTCTGAGGTGGCTAACTTTAACTCAGACCTCAAGCCTTAGTTACAATCTTAATTGCATGCAGAATTAATCAACCACATGAAACTACCAAATTAAAGTCTTGGAGAATACTTGATTATTCATAAAGTGGACATGTTAAGATGGTGGTTGGTCCGTGACCACCATTTTCATGCACTTGTTGCCATGTTAAGTAAAAGAAAAAGGCATAGGGTGGTTGCTTAATTTGGGCAGTCTTGCAAGTATTAAAAGTTGGATGAAAGTGAGGAATTAGAAGAAGGCATAATTGAAGTAGCAGAAGAGAAAAAAAATGGTAAAAGGGGTGAGACATAGTTTGGAGCTTGGGATGTCATTAAATTTTGTGAAAATAACGAAACAAAGGCTGCCATGGAATGATTAGCAAGATTAAAACAAAGAGATGTCAGGAGTGGATGGGTAGTACTAGTAGTAGCTCGTGTGGGTACCCATCTTGAAGCACAAGTCACAACGGCATTCTCCTTTCTGTCAAGCATCAATTCTCTTCCGAGAGGAAAAGGACATACAAATAAAGTCAGCTATTAAGTAAAACCAACAATAATAATTAATAAATGGGGAAGCAAAGTTTAAAAAAGGTTGCATAATTAGAGCATTGGAACAGGAGAAGATTCTCGTATAAAGATAGTGTCGTCCAATACTAATCATTATATTTCCTTTCCTTTCCCTTGAAACCACAAATTTTGTAGAGAGGTGCACTGCATACCATACTGGTGAAAAAGCTCAACCTCTAGAGAGAGAGAGAGTGAAAGAAAGAGACAACCAAAAGTGAGAGAATGAACTTTTAGCTTTGGTAAGGCTTTGCCGACAATGATTTCTGTCTGCCCACTAAATGAGTAATTAGAAGACCCATTCAGGGACTGTACGCACTAGACATGATTAAGATAATACAATACTTCATTTTCTTCATTCTTCAGCTACTTTTCTACTCGCTTCATTGACCAAAATGTTTAATAAACGTTGACATATAACTGTTTTTTTTTATTTATTTTGAAGTATATTTTTTAAATATACGTACACAAAGTGAAAATATTACACAAAGTATCGTAAATTCATATGTCATACTAATTTTGATGTTTAAATGACAGAACTGTTACAATATTCGCCTAAAGTTAAAGACTCCCCCACTTAGGTTAATCCTTTCACCTTTTTACTGTTTGCAGTGGTGGGTGTGTGAATGTGAAAACCATCAACCAAAAGAGAGATTCGTGTTTCAAACAGTTCCGAGGATATATATTATGACTATAATGACATTAGATCATAGTCTCATGGAATAGAGGGTCTGTCAGGTTTCTGTTTTTCCTTTATTTCTTTATATGTAATACGTGAAGTTTTTTTGTTGTTGGGGGTAGAGTATGTATATAATATATATTAAGAAAATTTCTGTGAAAATAAGAGTGATATGGGTAGTGGCAGCTTTTCCATAATGAGTAACTGCTTTGCTCATGAGGGAAAATGATCGAAAACTTAAATCCACTCTCACAAAAAGAAAAGAGGGTCCATCCCAGCCATTATCAATGGCAGCATAATTGCCACATATGAGTATAATAAGTACACTATCAATTAGCCTTTGTTTTTTACCGAAAAGGAAGACATACAAAGCACATCATCAAATTATTACAAAAATCAATGTTTTTTTCTTGTTTTATGGCACTTATGATAACCTAACGAGAGAATTATAAGATCAAAAATGCAGTGCATAGGAACAAAACACTGAAAATTTGTATTAACTCCCTTAATTTGAGAAGAAATAAGTGCATGTTTAGTTCTTTTTATACAAGTAAATACTCAGTTTAAAGTTACAAAAGTGTGATGAATTTGAATACAAAATTGTGTGTTTCGAACTAATTTTATGAAGATGGATTTGTTATCTTTATCCCCTCTAACCAAAAATTGATTTGAGTTTGAGCCCGCTTCCATTGAACAATATTTGTCTGCATGTATATTTTAAATTATTATTATTATTATTATTTTTAAATTAATCACTTATTGCTCGTAAATAAAATTAAAAAGAGAGCATAAAGCTTGTTAACTACTTTGGTTGCAGTATTGAAGCTAGTCTAGCCTAGTTTTCAAACCTAAAGGAGGAGGGAAGAAGAAAAGAGATATAAATCATACCAAATCTTCGAGTCTCTTATCGAAACAAAATTTCGTTTGTGCTTTGTAATGTAATGGGAAAAAAAAAACTAATCTACGTATTTACTTGATCGTGCTGGATTCCACCACCCCTTTGATACAGATATAACTGCTAAGATAACTGTGTCTTGGACTATTCTATGATGTTATGTTGTTGTTTCAAAATAATATTGAGCATTGCTGTGTTCGCTTTTGATACATACGATAACAACATAAAAATCCTTCACTTTTACTTTGTAATAAAACTGTTACGAGCACCTTTGATCCCCTTCAACAAACAGTTTTTGAAAGCGGTTTAAGACTTTAAGAAATGGGACTTTAGCAGACAAATCAATTTAATAAATTTTCTTGCAACCCCACAAACCACATGTAAAGTGGGGATAAGCATTTGAAGGAGAAAAGAGAAGAGAAAACCAAAAGGAAGGAATTTTATCAATCTTCGTTGTTGAAGAACGCTCCTCAGCATCTTCTCTGCTGCTTCATGCCGACAGTCTTCCCTTGTAGGTCTTCTCAGAACCTTTCTCACAAAATCATGGTCATGGGATTCATCATCCAATGGCCCTGCATGAACCTCACGACCTTTGGGATGTTTATAGAAGAAGTTAGCCAAACTACAAAAATTAATGATTTGACTCGATAAAACTCTGATATCTAATGTTATCGAGCAATACTTGGGAAAAGACCTCACCACTTTGTGTGAGAAATGATAAATTTATTCGGAAAAGGAAAAGGTAAATATTTGAAGAAGATCTTCCACCGTTAATTTGAAGTTATGAGTGCGTATAATCTACGTGGACAAGTATAAAATCAATGGTTTAAAACTTTTAAAAAGGCATGCATTAATAGCTGCTTCATGAACACGTAATAATTTTTGCTCAATTCGTTTCAAGGTGGGTTCATAGTTGAGACCAGAAGAGCAAGAGTGGATAGATTTAGGTAGACCTGCCACTTGGAACCAAATTTTCTCTCGAGTTTGAGAATCATGTATTTGACGCTTGACTGGTAAGGACTCCCTAGTGCCAAAAAGATATCAAGTCAATTCCATTATCGATACTTTTGGTTAACTCCTCTTGATAATGGTCCAATAAGTTCCACCACCAACCAACAATTTCATGCCTCCCTTGCCACTGTATTCAACATCTAAACAGGAGAGCTCTCGACAAGGACAACGCTTTATTTTTCATATGGTTCCCCTAAGTTACATCCATGAATTTGTTTATATAACCGCAATGTAAATTAGTGGCTTAACCATACTCCAAAGCAAAACAACTCAACTCTAGGTGCTCCTTTATTGAATGACAAAAATTATTCGAGTTAAAATATTACAGGAGCAAACGGAAAAGTTTTGAATTTTCTTTAGCTAACCATAAAGATTGTTTAGTATTCTTGCGTGAGATTCCCTGTAAACTGAGGTTGATGAGGAGACTTTTGCCAGCCGAAAGTCTAGTTTATTTGTGACGGACAACAGCTTTAGATAACAAGAAGAAGGATCTAAGTACCTAGTTTCTTTATATTCTGCTGACAAAAAATCTGGACACCAAGATGATCAAGGAATCAACATGGTGACTCATTGAGTGGCTATAAAGTTGCCTCACATGGCTTATGCGAGTTCAATACGAGATTAGGATGATTCATCCTCAACTTTGACTTAGGGACAGAAAGCTGATTGCCTTTGGAATGAACAGACTTCAATGTAGGAGTGATTGAAAGCCAAGTACCTTTCCAGATTTTACAAATGCAATGGACACCTTTGCAGATTCTACGTAAACACAAGATAAATAAACCACACATCCCATCAAGACAATTTCTAACGCCAAAGGCTACACAAACTAAAACTAAATATGCATTCATAGGCATCGATCACAGCTTTTAGCGAAAGAATCAAAACAGAAGAACAATGTTTTCACAATTAAGTCCACTTGAAAATGCATGCATGCATGCATGCTTGCTTCTTAATTTACAAATATTGTGAGAAATTTTGAGTGGAGAAAAGGTCTTAAATCAAAGGAGAATCGATAAAAATTTCCCCTTTAACAAATATTATTTATCTCAAACTACATGAGGAATAAAATTTCTACAACATCCTTCCAGTTCTGGTGTTACAATCTTTTCCGCTTTCCCATATTTAACAACTTGACGATCGTGGCAGGGTAAAAGATGAAGAGTTGCTCAAAGTCCTTCCAGTGAGTGTTCAAAATGCAGGGAAGTGAAAAAGAAAGATGGAAGAAGTGAAAATGAAGAGGGTAGTGGAAAGAATTCAATAAATCCTAAAAATTCCTAACTGAGTAATTAACCCAAAAAGAAAAGAAGAGGGCAAAAAAAAAAAAATGTTACACTGAGGATGTATCAACAAGAACTTCGTTTAACACATCATCCTCACCATTTGCCAGGGTGAACAGCTCCGCATCCTTCTCTTGATCACTGGAAAAATCCCTTCTCTCAAGTTTGGAATGAGCTGCAATGAATATCAACTTCTGCACCTTGTTGAGTGCAATCCTGGAGTGATGGCCATGGGCACAAACCCATCTCCACAAGGACCAATTGCATTTGAAGCCACATGAGGTTGCATGAAGGAATATTAACCTCACTGCAACTTTCCCCAAGGACTTGAATTCAGTCAAATAAGTTTCCCACACAAGCCTACTGCTCTGTGGATTGACAATCCTCATCTTCCCAGTGACCGGATCCCTCTCCTTCATCTGAACAGCTTGAGCATAAACCGGGTCAAGCCCTTCCGTCCTCCACTTCATGAGCTCCATCAGAGCAATATGTGCTTCGTCTCTTGCAACAAGCCTAGTAATGAGCCTATCAACATCCTTCTCCTGTTCCGGCGTCAAGTACTTAAACGGTGGAAGGTACTTGCCACTGGTGTCCCTCACCAAGTAAAGCGGGTCAAGAATGTAAGCAGCAGCCCAAGCAGGGTGGTAATTCTTCTTGAACCTTCTCTCAACCAGCTTCTCCACCACCCCTTCTGCAATGTGGAACTTGGAGCACCAGTCCTTCACCTTTGCCCTCAACTCATCCCAGAGGGAAAGGCATTGCCCAACCAGAGGCCTCTCAGCCTCAATCTCCTGAGCCATGTCCTTCACCAATTTCACCAAACCATGAATGGCTTCCAAGTCATTCCAGAACCCCACATCCCGAATCATGTCCCCAACCTCCCTGGCGCCCTGGTCCTCGATGGCCACCATCTTGAAAGGCTCATCCAGCAGCACCAACTGCAAGGCGCGAACCGAGCTCAAAGTGTCCTCCATCATAGCATACACAGGCCCCAACTCAAACTCGTGCAGGGGCACCCGCAGCAGCCAGGTGTGGCCGTACTCCTGCAGCTGGTACTTGTGGAAACTGTTTCTCACCTGAGAGGTGTAATTGAACAAATTGGCGAGCTTAAGACAATTGTGAACCACAGTCCTGAACAAGGGGAGTTCCTTGGCAAAGTCCTTGATCAAACTGTTGAAGCCCTGATACTGACAAGTGAGATTAACCATCCAATGATTCTGATTCTCTAAGTTTTTCAAGGCCTTGGCCTTGAACCTGTCTGCAACTATCCCAACACACTGTTGCACGAGATTCCCACAAATGCCAGTGATTGTCTCCCACAAAACCTCCTCCGCATACTTGGAAGGAGCAGAAGCAGTAACAAACAACGCCCTTCTGTACAAACTGGTCCCATTTGGAAGATTCACGCTCAAATTCACCAACCCCGAATCGTAACTCCTCCCATTCTCATTCACATTCCCATTCCACTTCCACCCGTCAGACGCAATCTGAAAGAACATCGCATCCCGGATCCTCGCCTCCGACTCAACCTTAGCCTCCTCGAACCTCGCCTCCAACCTCGCTCCGGTCAGTTCCCGTGGAAACACTGCCGGCAAACCAACCTGCGACAGAAAAGCTCGGAACTTCGGATGCTCCAAACTCGCGAAAGACACGGAGCCACACGACTCGTATACCCAATCGCCCAGAAACTCAATCGCGCTATCGATTTGGGCCTTACTCAAAGCGGGACCAGGAGAAGTTTTGGGACTCTTCAGCTTCTTCACGCTATCCTCCAACATGGCCAAAGCCCCCAAATCCTCTTTCCCACCTGACAGCACCAAATGTGGCTGCTGCGGAACCAAAGCCGACCCGAACCGCGATGGCGCGTGGTAGAGCGAACCCGAACCTGAACCCGAAGCAGAAGGCGAAGTCGTTGTTCGCTTGCGGTGATTGTGCTGAACCGAAAAAGGAGAAGCGGACGAGGGAGAAGAAGAAGGAACGACAACGGGGGAGACAGAGGAAATGGGTTTGGCGGCGGAGTTAAAATTGGGGCACGTGCCACGCTTGAGGTGTTCGGAGGCAGTGCGGGAAGGATTGGAGGCGGAGAAAACGGCGTCGCAGAGGGTGCAACGGAGTTTCACTGCTTTGGGAAGTCCCGTTTCGGTGTTGTGAACCAGCAAGGGTTCCAAGTGCGTCCAGTACCATGCGCCTTTTCCTTTTATCGCTTTGTTTCGAACCATCAGAAGCCCCTCGTAGCGCTTCTGCGCCGTCTTCGCCGCGGCTTCGTCGGCAGAGGCCGACTCCACCAACGCGCCGGCGTTCGTCGCCGCCATTGCGAGAGAGTGCCGATGAGAGTGTCACGGAAACAGTAGTCTCTGGAATGGAAGGGTTGATCACGATCACGTGTTCTGCATCATCGTCGTCGTCTTCGCTCCGGGACTCCGGGGAAGGGAGCATTTAGCCGGAGAGTGGCCGGGAGATGAGTTTCCGGCGACTGTCCATGCGATCGGATAAGATGGTGGTTTACAAAGATGAAAGGGAAAAGAGGTTTGTGCTGCGTTGTGTTGTGTTGAGTGAGAGTGAGTGAGTGAGTGAAGAAGTGAATGAGACCGAAATAGCAAAGCGAATGAGAGTGGAGCAGATACACGTACGGCTACTCCACTCTCAGATGAATGACAGAAAAAAGGGCGACGCTTTTTCACGCGCTGGAGTATGCGCGTGGGAAACAACTTTCCGGGAACCCGACACCCACGATGCTGATGATTGGGGAGTGAAGCACACGCGCCACTCCTCACTTTTCTTCCCTTTAGTTTGTTTGTTTATTTTTCTCTTTTGTTTTGGGGGTCTTCGTGTGGGTCTTCCTTTGTCCTTGTCGCTTTCTTTTTTCTTTTATAATTTTTTTTTTTTCATACTGTTTTCTCCCTAAAATTATCCTTTCACTCAGTCCATCTTCTTCTTAATCATTTTTGTATTGGTGGGCTGAATTCTTTTATGCCACCATTAATTAAATCATGTCTTTTTCATACCAATTTTTTATTTCTTTTCTTACACTATCATACTAAAATACAAATACACCCACATTGTTTACAATTATTTTTAATATATTTTTAAGGATTTTATTCATCACTACTCCTTTCCTATAGAGGAGTATTTAATGTTTAAAACAATAATAAAAGCTAATAAATGCTCCTTTATTGAAAATCATATTTGGAGTACATAAAAATAACAATTAAAATAGATTAATACATATAATAAAAAAAATGGAAATAATATATTAAATGGTATTTTAGATACTGTTAATATTTTTTCCACTTCCGTAAGAAATATTTGAAATCTATTCTTAAATTATGGAAAGAAAAATTAATTGATGTAAAAAAAACTGTATAAATAAATTAATAATTTTAAGAAAAATAAAACCATCATTATACTTTATAATTCTTGTGAAATCACTACTAAGATTTGTTTTCGGAAAAAAAATAAGTTTTTAAATTACATGAATAGTAAAACAAAGAATAAATAAGTGAAAATATTTTATATTTATTTATTAATAATAAATTTTTATTATTAGATTTATAAATAAAAGAATGTTTCTCCACTAAATAATGTCAGTTTTAAAATTATAATCATTCTAACTTTATTCTTAAAATCCATACAAATAAATTAATAGATAATATATATATATATTATTTATTTATTTATTTTGTAGACAAAGATATTTGATTGGATAAATTACAGGTTTGAATAATTGTATAAAATAATACATAATCAGAACTTACTTTATTTAGTGCTGATTTGTAGGAGTAAAATATTATAAGAACATGGTATCCGTATCAAAAAATATATGAATAAAAATTAATAGAATGAATTCTATGTTTTTCAATTTGGCAAAAAAATCACTTCTAGTGGTAGTTCAATCTCAAGGTGTATTCAACGTAGGCATAATCCTAAATGAATTCAACTATGACATATGGTCACAACTAACGGAGATGTGCATTGCAGAGAGGGAAAAATTGTCATACATCCGTGGGAAGGTAAAGCATCCAACAGAGAAAGATGAGGGATATGAAAAATGGTATGTTGAAAACCAAAATGTGAAAAGATGACTACTAATGTCCATGAAACCAGAAATCATGAAAATGTTTTGTCAAATACGTTTTATGATGGAAGTGATGAGCTACAAGTGTTTATCCCGAATCAAAAGGCATTCACTACAAAACAAAACAATAGAACCCTAACTGAATATTATGGGGAGTTGGTTGAAATTTTTAGGGAATTAGACCATTGTGATAAAGTAGTCATGAAGGACCCTGATGATGTGAAGTTATATCAGAAGTTCATTGAAAGATTGAGGGTGCATATATTTCTTGTTGAACTGAATGATGATTTTGAGCAAGTTCATAGAGAAATCTTGTGCAACGAAGTGACACCTAATTTAGAAGAATGTTATGCATTGATCCGGAGAGAGACAGTCCCGTGAACAACGTTGAAAAGAGAAGATATGATTTCTGATTCCATAGCTATGATGACAAGGAAACAAGCGAAGCAATCAAAAGGTTCTGAAAAAGGTATTGATCCGGAGAGAGACAGTCTGGTGAACAACGTTGAAAACAGAATATATGATTCCTGATTCCACAACTATGATGACAAGGAAGCAAGCGAAGCAATTAAAAGGTTCTGAAAAAGGTAACTACAAGTGCACTCAGTTTAATAAGGATGGACACACCAAGGAATGATGTTATGAAATCATAGGATACCCCAAGTGGTGGGATCACAGTCGAGCATCGAAAAAGAATTAAAAAAAATTCAACTGTTGTTGTAACTACCATTGACAAAAAGGACGACAAAGGCATGATACTTGTTACAATAGCATGTAATGATGATTTCAATGGTAAAGTCTTAATAAGCACATCTACCATTCTAAATAATGCATGGATAATTGACTCTGCATGTTCTGATCATGTGACTTTTGATGTTAGACAGATTAAAAATCTTAAATCTTCCTCACAAAAAATTATTTTCACAGTCAATGGTAGTAAATCCACTATCATTGGAGAAGGAACTGTCTCTATTTCAAACAATTTGAACCTTGATATTGTCCTTGTTGTTCCTTCTCTTAAATATAATCTATTGTCAGTCTCGCAAATAATCAAAACTCTTTTATGTATTGTAATTTTTGGGTCTGACTCTTATGTGTTTAAGGACATTCAAATGAGGAAGACGATTGGTTGTGGTATTAGGTGAGGAAGGTTCTATTACCTGGACCTGACAGAAAAATATTCAAAGAGACTTGGTCAAGTGCTAGCAACAAAAGGGTCTCAAGAAGTGAGAAAAGGCAAGGATATTTGGGTATGACATAAGCGTCTAGGACATGCATCTTTTGGGTACATAAAAAAATTATTTCTAAATGTGTTTGACCAAGTAGACACTTCAACTTTGTATTGTGATGTTTATGAGCTTGGAAAGAGTCACATAACATATTTTCCTTTAATTTCAAATAAAAATTCTCTTCATTTTATGATCATTCACTCTGATGTATGGGGTCACATCTAAGGTTACAACGTTAGGTGGCTCAACGTGGTTTGTAACGTTTATTGATGATTGTACTCGAATGACTTGGTTATGTTTGATGAAATCTAAAAGTGAAGTTGGAAGACTATTTCAGAAATTTTGCAAAATGATTGAAACTCAGTACAAAGCACAAGTTCAGGTACTGCGCAGTGACAACAGAGGAGAATATATGCAATCAAAACTTTAACATTTTTTAGTAACCAAATGAATTATTCATCAGAGATCTTGTCTAAATATTTCACAACAAAATGGGGTGACAGAACAAAATAATCGTCATTTATTGGAGGTGGTCCGAGCTGCACTGATTGGAGCTCACATGTCAGCAATATATTGGGGAGAAACTCTCACATATACAATATGCATTATCAACCGATGCAGTAGTAAAAACACATCTTCAATCACTTACATATGCAGTAATAAGTCCTAGAATTGCTGAACTAACACAGAGTTTTTGGTTGTGTTGCTTATGTTCACTTACACAAACATCAGAGAAGTAAGTTGTCTCCTATAGTTGAAAGGTGTGTGTTCCTTGGCTATACAGATCACCAAAAAAGGATATCGGTGCTACAATTCACAAATCAAGCAAATGTTTACTACTATAGATGTAGTTTTTCATGAGACCTTAATATATTTTTCCCTTGAGTCTGAAATTCAGGAGGAGAATTATGATGAAGTTCAGACTTTTGTTCCTCAAGAAATTGATACTGAAGTCAAATTGGAGAAAGGAAGTTACAAAGTTGTATTAGGAGATGATAAAAGTGTGCAACAATATGATGATCAACAACCACATAATTTGAGCATATTGAGATCGAAAATTTGCCTATTGATGTTAATGATATATCACACCAATCGTCCTCTCAAGAACCTAATACAGAAAAAAGAATTTTTCCAGATCGTGTCACTGAAGGTATCCCTAAGCCTACTTATGATGTTAACCTCACCAGTAAGACAAAATACCCTATGAGTAATTATATTTGTAACCATAATTTGTCTAACTCAAATATCGCATTTTTAAGTTAATTATCTACTGTATCTATTTCTAACAGTGTGCAGGAAACTTTAGCTGACTCCAGGTGGAAGGATGCTATGAATGAGGATATGAGATCCTTACAAAGAAATAAACACATGGAAATTGGTAGATTGTCCAATTGGAAAGAAACCAGTAGGATGTCGATGGGTGTATATTGTAAAATTTAATGCATATGGCACAATTGAGATATTCAAAAGCTAGATTAGTGGAACGTAAGACATTGAAAGAGTACTTGGCAAAGGAATTAAAGATGAAGGATCTTGGTCCTTTGAAGTACTTTCTTGGAATTGAGGTCTCAAGATCAAAGTCAGGTATTTTTCTCTTACAACGAAAGTATGTATTGAATTTACTGAAAGAAACTGGAATGATAATATGTAACCCAGCAAATTCTCCAATTGAAGAGGGATTGAAGTTGTACATTGAAGAAGATCAAACTTCAACTAACAAGAGAAGATATCAGAGACTTCTAGGGAGATTGATGTATCTCTCACACACCATGCCAAATTTAGCCTATGCTCTTAGTGTGGTTAGCCAGTTCATGCACAATTCAGGTGAAAAACACATAGATGTTGTTATACGAATTTTAAGGTACATAAAAGCCGCTCTTGAAAAAGGAATTATGTTCAAAAAGAACTCCAACTACAAGGATGTGATAGTTTATATTGATGCAGATTGGGTAGGTGCACTTGATGATAGAAGATCAACCTCTAGATACTTTACATTTGTAGGAGGTAA